GCTGGAAGGACCGCGGCCCCAAGCTGCTCAACCAGCTCGGCTTCATCACCGCCGGCCACGAGAACGCCTTCCTGTGCCTGCAGGAGGTGCTGCACGAGCAGCTCGAGGACATCCAGGCCAGCCTGGGCCCGCGCTGGGCGTCCATCGGCCGGGCCCGCGAGGACGGCAAGCAAAAGGGCGAGTACTCGCCCGTCTTCTACCGCTCCGACGTGTGGTATCTCGAGCGCTCGCAGACGCGCTGGCTCAGCCCGACGCCCGAGAAGCCGTCGCGAGGCTGGGGCGCCAGCCACAACCGCGTCGTCACCATGGGCGACTTCACCCACCGGGGCACCGGCACCCGTGTCGTCGTCATGAGCACCCACTTTGACCACAAGAGCGCAAAGGCCCGCCAGCACAGCGCTCAGCAGCTCATGCAGTACGCCCGCGAATGGGGCGTCGACACCGACGAGGCCGGCGACGGCGACGGCGGCAGCAGCAGCAGCAGCATCAGCAGCTCGGCCGTGCTCATTGGCGGCGACTTCAACAGCACGCCCGATGACGTGGCCTACCGGCTCATGACGGCGCCGGGTTCGGGCATGTCCGACCTGGCCGCCCTGTTGCCCGAGGACCAGCACAACGGCAACAGCCTGACCTACACGAGCTTTGGCGAGGATAACGAGTGGCCGCAGCGGATTGATTTCCTCTTCATCCAGGAGCCTCGCACGGCCGTCGTCAAGACGTTTAGCGTGCTGGAGAACATCTTTGACGATCAGATCCGCATATCGGACCACAGGCCCGTCGTGTCCGATCTTGAGATTGCCGTGGACCCTTCGTCCTGAGATGTATGGGGGGAATGAACTGGGAAGCGATGTTTTTTTCATGAGCAACATCTCTTAAGTGAAACCTTGAAAAATCTCGGGAGGATAATGATACCCGGAGCGTGCTTCCCGAGTGGCACTGTCTCCAACCTACATTATGAACACGGAGTATTGGACATGATATTCAAGCACGCATACGCACGCAAAAGAAATAAAGGGGGGGAAAAAAGGCAATGATTGAGACCGGAAAGTGGAAACTGGGGCGGGAAATGGAATCAGTTTCTCTAGCATACGTCTGATCCTGTGGAAGAGAGGGAAGCAATGAGCATGAGCAGGAGCATCATGCAGCTGCATGCAGTCATCGCCGAAGAGAAGGATTCCATTCCGCATCTCCTGTTCAGCGCGGTTCTTTCATAGGCGAGAAAGCAGGCATCAACAGTCTTCTGATGCAACGCATCCACGGACATGACAGTTGTGCAGCTCTGCTGTCAAATCAATAGCTTTCAATGAGATCGAACCTGTATGCCTACAAAAAAAGCGGTCAAGATGTATCCAGATGTTTGGTTTGAGAGATTGGCTCAACTGCATCTCTCGCAGCTGAATCGCCGTCTTCAGCAAATCAAGCACTTCTTATCAGTATTGTTGTTGCTGGAATAGATGGATCGCAAATAGGATACGACGATATATGCGTATGCAGCAACGGAGTTTTATACGTCCATTATCACCTTCTTCTTCCTCGTACTCAAGAGCAGCGATCCACACTCTCACCTGCATGTGACCATACCATACAGTACCTCTGCCCTTCATCCTCGCTTCCACAAGGGGGACCAGACACGTCACGAGCATCAAAACATTACGAGGAGAATACAGTTTTTTGAGGGAAGCAACTGTTTCAGTTGCCTGCCGTCTCGAACGAGCCAGTATGCAGGACGATGGCATACTTTTGTTTCTTGATGGTCAAATCGAAAGTGCTTACAGCTTCTGATGAATGGGATGACATGCAAATCCCTCGAGTCGGAGTTCGTCTGGACATCGCAGGTACTGTTCTACTAGTAGTAGTTGTTGTTGGTGAGATGCCTGTATCATATGCATCCGCGCTGCTGATGAATGTTCTGAATAAGTGAGGGCGGGCGTATGACTAAAGTGACTGCATGCATACCTACCTACATACATAACATACAACATCCATAACATGTATCAGCTTCTTCACATGTATCATGTCCGATTGGCTATGTATACGCGCTTTTGCACGCCGGATAGACCAAACATATGTCAGCCTGTGAGATGGCCATCTCACCTGCTCCATCTACGCCATTTACAAGCCAAAACAAACGAGTATACTAGATATGTGTCTGCAGATATCAGCTATTCCGCGGCGACCACTCGTCAATGGCCCTCAAGTTTGACCTCATTCTTATGCCTGCTCTGAGACACAAGAAAGAGCTTACATACATGCAAGCGATGCTTGTCACCAAGACCAACATACTTTGTGCGAGAGATGAGAAGGAATCATGGCGGAAGGTTTGCTTGTCAAACAAAAGCTGCATGTCTGGTTGCAAGTATCACTTCTTGCCACGGCATCGCATCGCATACACCAAATCCTTGGGAAGAAACCTTGGACTTTGCTTCGTGCAGTGTAACGCCTCGAGTAAGTCAAGGAGGCAGATCCCGGACCAAATGAACCAAGTCCAAGTAATGACCAGGAAAAACGCAAGGAAAAGACACCAGGATAAATATAAAAGACCTGGTCAAGCTGCACCACCTCACCCATCATCTACCTCACACAGGAAATGGAGGAATCACTACTAGCATCGTATCTCAAGTCAGACAAGCACAAACGGAAAGCAAGGTAGGCCGCTTTGTGTACCCATCTCCGCTTTTACCAATCATATCGACGACATTTACCGATTTTGACATTTCCTGCTACTATTCCTCCCCCCCTTTCTTTTCGTTACTTCTTGTGTAAGTGTGTTTGTGTGTGCGTGTGTGTGTGTGTGAGAGGTGTGTGTGAGGTGTGTGGGAGATCACGAGATTCTGATGCGCCACGAGGTGGTTGCCTAGCGCGGTGTACTTTATATTCTCATATCACAACTCACTGCTGCCTTGTCTTGCTTTGAGCCTGGTCCTGGTAGATATCTGGCGAGACAGCCGCGGTGAATGAATTTAACGGTCTCTTTGGATGGTTTGGCTCGTGGAAGTTGGGAATGGTAGATATCTGGGTTAGATTAGCATGTGATTGAATGGAGAACGATGGGAAATATTCTGGGATTTTGTTTGGGTAAGTGTGTGATGATGCTTGTTTTTTTGTGTGCCTTCGGAGCACGAGTTGCGGCTTTTTGATATGTCCATGGCTTGATAAACTGACATGTGATTGGACCTTCTGCCCTGAAAAGCTCTGGATGCATGTGCCGAGGAGGGCTAGACGATGCCCAGTAAAACTATGCAGAATGACAATGTTTGGAACAGCAGCGAAAATAAGGACCCCAAAAGCTCGACATGCCAGCCAAACAGAAGCATTCAATATCACACGTACAACCGGTGCGTCTTGTGGAAGCCAGGGTAATACGGGCCAGGCCGGGAGCCGAGACACGCAAAAAGTACGGGGTCCCGGGGGTGGGGCCGGACCACGAGATGCGAAGGACGCAAGTGTCTGAATGGCCATGGATTCACTTACCTTTGAAGACAGCATTACAAAGAGGAACCCGTGCCGGTTGCTACTATCACGAGTAAACGGTACTAGTACCTAGTCTGGGTATGAGCATGGCTAACTTCCAAGTTACTATATGAGCACCGCAGGCCGTGCTGACGAGGCAGAAGGAAGGATTCCGTAGCTGTTCGGAAGGACAACTTGCAGCAGCCCGGCTGTGAGCTTGCGTGCGGGCCACGCAGAACGAGCGGAAACATGGGGGACAGTGGGCAGCCGATTAGTATAGACTGTGGACATGGCGGAGAGGGGGGGGGGCGTGTGCGAGCAGGTCGATCATGTATGGAGCCCTTTCTTCTTCACGCTATATGTCGAGTCATCGGCCGAAAAGAAGTGGAAGAAAAGAAGAAACACTTCGACCCGAGAAGATGGAGAGAGAGCACGAGCATGACTCGGAGCAGAACTGCAACGAGAACACGGGGGGGGGGGGGGGGGTTGATCTCAGAGAACATTTTTTTTTTCTTTTCTTTTCAGCCTGTCCTTTGGTGCAGAGCCAGGCTGCATGACGACAAGCCGTCGACGATTGGGCCTCAATGGGCATATGTAGCAGTAGTAGTATGAAGATGGGGGAGGGGCGGCGGCCGGGTGTGTTGAGCTGTCATTTGACGGAGCATCCGCATACACCCCGGACGCCATTTTTTTTTGTCTGCTACTATCCTGTTCTCTATTTTGCCGTGCACCAGCAATCGTAGCAGGGAGGGGGCAACAAGCTCAGAATGTATGATGGACTTTGTTAGATGATGAGCTTCTCGCGTCCTCCCACCCGTCCTTGACGGGCGTTTGAGTAATAGAAGCAGCGAGGCTACGGGAGATTATCGTCCTCTTGTCGGGACGATGTCCTTTGGGGTTGATACCCAACGGGAACCACAAGAAGAATTTTCTCGGACAGAGTTGGGCTGGAAGACGTGAGTGAGAGTCAGGGAGTCTTTTAAACATAGTGGTAGGTGATGGTAGCAGTAGTGCTGGTGGTAGCAGTCGTAATCAAGTCCGAATCCAGAGGGTTGGGGAGGCGTATGTACATGGAGTATACCCCCCCTACCCCCTATAAAACACCAAGCTTCAATATGAGCAACAGCGTGTCATTAGCTCTTCCAGACTGTCACCAGGAAACGGCGAGGCTGGCTGTAAAGCCAAAGAGAAATTGTCTTTTGCAACACTTGGGAGGACAGCTGGCGGTTGAACAAGGACCTGCTGTCCAACGACCAAAAACTGCTGCGCTGTCCATTCTCCACGGGTGGCGATGTTCAGGACGAAAGACGAGTGAACCTGACACGAGCAAAACATCAACCAGACTTCCCAGCCTGCATCTCCAGCAGCGAGAGAAAAAGACGAGTTCAACGTCGTCACGTTTCAGCCAAAAGAAGGCCGCATGTTTCACAATCCAGAGGCGACAACCCAAACGAAAAATGGTGGCGCGGCGCCAGCAGAAACGGGCAGAGACGAGCCGCTCCCCATCTCCACAGTTGGGCTTGCGTGCGCTTTTTTTCACCTCATCCTCATCAACCCTTCTTTTGCAGCTTTTCAGGCTTCCCATCCATTTCATTCGCAAGCGGCTCGAGCCGGGGTGTGGCTTCTTGGCACTGAGAACTAAGGTACCTTAGGTAGATACATACATAGAGCGGGTAATACCTACTGCTTGTGTTTCCACACGTGTTGGAAGGCGGGATATCGAAATGGAACCCGTCGTCGTCTTTTGATGCTGCTTTTCTCTCGGGATCCGGGGTTTGGACGCTTTTTTTCCTTCTTCTTGTATTCCCCCAACCCTGGTCCGAACGGGCGGGATTGGTGTTGGGGGAAGCACCGGTGACGTCGTCTGCAGATTTCGCGTTGGGCTGAGTTCCAGTCATTCCATGGATTTCGCGTCTGACAGGGACGAAGGTGAAAAAGAAGTGGTAAATGGGACAACAGACAAGAGTCAAGGCTGGTGACGGTGCGGATGGATGGTTGAGAGACTGCATCTTTGTGCAGGCATGTGCTTGTCATTGTGGGATCCAAGCCAGACGGGCAGCTGTAGTATCTGTATCCGTTGAAGCAGGAAGCCCGGCTGTTTCGTCTTCAACATGCCCACACAAAGGTTGAGCGGACAGCAGCTTGCACTGTACGGAGAACCAGCATCGACCATCGTCAAGGATCCCTGCTCGAACCTCTTTTATCGCTGCCCGCGCTGCCTGCAGGAGAGAGATGAAGCACGTCGCTATTTTCTGCTCGCCCTCTGGCCTGGCGAGCGCTTGCTGCGACAGCCCCGGCCGGCGCATCTGGAATCCCCATATGCCCATCGTTCGGCATACGGAGTTGGCGTATGCCTTGCCTACGAGATTTTACTACACGATGCGACGCCATCCAGAAACCAATGTCGACATCTGGCATGCGACCCTCTCGATATTCGCCGTTTGCCAGTGTTTCGAACTCCTCGCCTCCCCCCTCGAGCCCCCCCTTCTTCCCCTCCTCTTCCCAAAGTTCTGCTCATCCTCATCAAATCCCTGCTCGAAAATCCAAAATCCAAAACCCCGCGCCCTCGACTTGCTCTCGTCTCGGCCTTCTCATTCGCCAGTCGCTATCGCGACTCGACGATCTGGTGGTGCGGCACCTCCCCCTCCGCCCTCGGACAGTCGTCGAGACGAGCCAAAGGCGCAGCTAGAGAGGGTCAGGCGGTCGCTAGCTGCCGATGCACTGTGCTCTGTTCATGCACTAGGAAAGCAGAGCAGAGCAGAGCAAAAGGTAGGAAAGAAGCCGACGAGCTCGTGAGGAAAGGAGCCAAGGAAGCTCCGGACCGTGGATGAGTGTGTCTGGAGCCATCGTCAATCAATCCATCGGGGTGGGGAGAAGAGAGGGATATCCCGCCATGCAGAGCCAGTCGGGAGACGTCGACGATGCATGTACCTTATCCATCCATGTAACCACCAAAGGTAGGTATGGACAGGCAGGTAAATGGCCTCGCTTTACTTACTCCGTCAATGGGTCAGATGTAAACAAAACCACACAGGTGGTCTACATGTAATTACGACACGGGAGTAGTCTGCACACATCTGGCAGGGCAGGATCCCAGTGATGCCATGTCGCGCGATATTCCAGCGTCGTGCTACTACTGCCAGAGGCGTAAACACACCACCATCTGCCCAGTGCTCATGCTCTCTCGTCGCCATCAAATCACGGATCTGCCTCGTCTATCGAAATCTCTCCCTTGCGTCGCTGCTGCTTGCTGGCCTCGCCTCGCACAGACGCTCGACGCTCACCGTCACCTTCGCTGCCCAAGCCCAGTCCAGTCGTCCGCCCTTTTCTCCCCTTCTGGCTTTGGCATTCTCACCCAATATTCACAGCTCAATACTGCCCGCCTCCCCGTCCAGTCTTCGTCCGCTGCCCGTCGCCAGCACAGTGCATGCTGCACGGCCACACAGCGCCAGATCCAGTGCAGCGACAGCGCATTAGCCCCTAGAGCAAACCCCCCTGCCGCCCTCCAGCGCCGCTACCCCTCCCTACGGCACCCCTCCGGCCTCTGGCCACCCCCCCGAGATGCCGCCTACTTGTACTCTCGCACTTACACACGCACAAACCCGAGCCTTCACCTTCACACCCCTCACTCTCCTCCCCCCTTGTACACGCTCAGTCTGTCCTCTGCACACACTTTGCTGGCCATTGGATCAGCGACGACGGGCGATTAAAACCTCGACGCAGCCGCTACTGCGCTGTCCGTTGGTCTCCCCGTCATTTTTGCTGCTGCAGGCGGAAGAAGACGAGAAAAAAAAAAATCCTGTTGCTGGGTTTCATCCTTTATTATCCTGACCCTTCGCTCTCAGAGAGGGGTTCCCCGTCTCATCTCGTTCTCATCAACATCACCTACGCTTCTCAGAGCCTGACTACACTCACCTTGACGCCTGATCATCGTCGCTATCGGCATCTTTTCTGCTTAGATCCATGCGCTAATCGATACTACGAGTCGGCCGTCCACCTGCTTGCCCACCGCCTGATTGACTGCTACCTGATCGCTGCCTAGAACGCCGCACCTTGTTGATGCTGACAGCTGCGCTTCGAACAGCGACTCATACAAACTCGACCCCCGCCTTTGTGCGGCTTCCTTTATCCTACAACCTTTATTTACTTCTTGCCGCTCATCTATAACCACGCATCCAGCCTCACCATGCCTGAGAAATCCATGGTCGGCTACGTCGAGGACGTCGACGAGGATATCGGCAGCACCATCGGCGTCGAGAGCACCCGCCGATACGCCCGGTCAGAGGCGCCAAGAAGCCCTGAGCGATCCAACACCGGCAAGCCTCGAGGCGGCCGAGTGATGCCAGACACCGACTCCGAGGATGAGACTGCCTCGAGCAGCAGCAGCCTCTCCGACTCAGACAGCACGCCCGCACCCGTCGGCAGGGACAAGATGAGGCCTGTGCCGGCCGACCATCGACGCCTGTCGCACCAGGATCGAGACCATCACCGCCGCGATCCCCGCGATTCGCGAGACTCTCGTGGCCCTCGCGACCACCGAGCTCTTGACCGCGACCACCAGAGGCGCGAGAGGAAGCCCAGAGAAGACGAGAACCACAGGAGGCCCCGACCTCAGCCAAGGGACCGAGACCCTAGGGACCTCAGAGACCTCAGGGAGCCCAGGGAGCCCCGAGACATCAGAGACCTCAGAGACGCCAGGGGCCAGAAGAAGACCCGGCCCGGTCCCCCCAAGCATGCTGCCTCACAGCCCGTCGTCTCTCAGGCTGCGTACCGAAGAGGCCAAGTTGAGGACCCGGCTGCGTACGGCGTCCAGCAGCCTGCTGTGTCTGCTCAGCGGCCCCGTGCCAACACTCGTCCTGCGAGCTACTATGCCGGCCAGCCCCCACGGCCCCCTCCTCTGGACATGGGCTGGGCTGGACCTCACCCTCCTCTGCCCCCTCCTCCTGGGGCGTTTGGCAACTTCCCGCCGCCGCCTCCCATGTTCCCCGGCGGGCCCCCCATGCATCCTGGCATGCCGCCGCAGTCTCCCATGGGGATGGGCCCGCCTCCCTTCTTCGATGGCCCCATGGGCCCTCCGCCTCCACGAGACCATCTCGGGCGTCGTTTTGATGAGTTTGGCCGGCCCGCTTCCGCCATGGGCTTTGGCTCCCCCCCCGAGGCCATAGGATACTTTGACAACGAGTATGACGACTTTGAGGAAGAGCAGGCTCACAAACATGCCCGCCGTCCCTCGCGTGCGAAGAAGGCGCCGCCGCCACTACCACTTGAGGAACCTCGCAAGAAGATGCCGCCTCCAGAATTTGCCCCCAAGCGCACCCAGTCGGCGCGGCCAACCGCAGGCGGCTTCAAGCCTCCGCCAGCGCGCGAGGCACCGCGGGAGCACCTGCGAGAACAGGCACGGGAACACATCCGAGAGCAGCTCCGAGAGCGCCCGCAGTCTCGGCCAGCCCCTCAACGGCCACCGCCCCCATCGCACCGCCGCTCTGTGGGCTTTGTTGACCAGCAGGAGTATGATGACGACTTCCTGGACGAGGAGGACTTTTATCAAGAGGTCCCTCCCAACCAGCGTCGCACTGCTCTGACTCGTCAGCGCCGCAGCAGCTCCGTCGCCTATGATCAAAACGGCTACGACATTGTTCCTGCCGGTAACCGAGGCCGCCGCGCATCCATGTACGGACCCGGCCCCCAGGAGTCTGGCGGCGTCAGCCTTGAGGACGACAATAGGTACTTTGATGCTCTGCGCTACCAGGAGGACGTGAGCGGCGGTACGCCGATGCCCCTGACCGCCGAGACGCTGCGCAAGGCGTCCAAGCGTGGAGAGCTGGCCAGCAGCCGATCCACCAGGAGCAGCGGCAGCCATGACGAGAGCGACTACAAGCGAAGCCACACCACCGGCCTCACCACGCAGTCCTCGGCGGCACACCAGGACGACTTCACCATCAAGGTCTCTGGGCAAGCCGTCGTCAAGGTCCCGGGAGCCCAGATCGAGTGCGATGGAGGCGAGATTACTTTTAGCAGCAACCGAGGCACCGGCGCTGGGCCTGGTTCCGGAGCCATGGGCCATTCTCGCGCCGGCAGTGACAAGGAGAGCACCGTCTATCAGCTCGATGATGCGCGCAGCTCTCGCATGGAACGCAAGGCGCTGCCCCATCGCCCCCGCGCGGCCAGTCAGTCCGATGTCCACAGCCGCATCTACGCTCCGCTGCATGCCCCGTACGAGCATGTGCCCTATGATGAGCCGGAGCACTATGAATACGAGGCCCCCAAATATGCTCCCTACGACCCGTCTCTTGCTGCTTCCAACTTTTATTAAACGTTGACGACCGAAGAACACAATGACGCCATATGAAAAGGTCTACGAAGCTGGTTTCACGAGTTACGCTATGATGACCAAAAGTGCTTCTTAATTTGTCTTTGCTTCGATATCGACATGCAGCGATGTCGAACATTTGCTTTTGCTTCCTTCTCGACGACGAACTGAAGGAATTGGATTTTCTCTTGCTTCCTTTCCCGCTTCTACTATTTCTCTTATGATTTTGTTCGATTCTCCTTTACTTCTCTTCTCTTCCTCCGCATCCTGTGCTTGTCTTGGAGGTTCATATACCCTGGTGCCATTCCATGGCGGCAAAACATTTTGATACCCCCAAAATAGTTGGCGATGGGAAGGATATTGTGCGCTTTCATGGGCGGATATATGATACAGGTTTACGGGTTCTTATTTCTCATTCTACCTTCATCTTCTCATTTCTTTTCGCATTACATCTTCTGCTTGATCGCCGCACGGCCTGCAAGAGTGTCGGTGAGAAGATCGGGACGGATCGGGCAGGCACGGAGGCAAGCTGGTCTGATGCTCCGACCTTGCCGCTTGGGCGATGGCGCCGCTCCGAGGTCTGTGTCATGTCCTCGAGTCTGGACTTGACGGTGTTTAGACACTCCCGTCTCCCTAGCGATCCACCCTCTTGAAGCTTGCACCCAGAAGACATGTCGAGTCGAGGTCTATCTATCTTTGGGTTTGGCAAATCTCCTTTAGCGACATTCGGTTTACGAGGAAGAAACTCTGGAATTTGGTTTGATTTATTCGTCTCTCATCAATGTTACGAAAGCGATAGAATGTACGAGCAACGGGGGTTCACACCCCCTTCACTCCCTCTGCCGTACACGAGGGGCTGTCTGACGTTCAACTGGCATGCCATTTCCTCACCCTGCTCCGACCTTGTCCTCCTTCCGAGACATGGAGCTCTTTTACCGTATCCCTCCAGGGAAGAAGAGTGCTGCGATATGCGGCCACGTGCACTCGTGCCGGACTCTGATACCCCTCACGGCTTACCGTTGTGGGCTAGCACGCATAATGCGAGGAGGTGCATGCATGCATGGCTCAAGGAGGACGTGATACGATGGAGGAGAGACAGGATGCTGCAGGGAAGGCGATGTGGTATGTGTGGCTATTACTATATGGGTTACGAGGGGTGTCTGGAGGATAGCGTGCTGTTGGAGGTATGCGGGAGGGATTTGATACGACTCTTTCATGACCTGATGACGAACTAAAAGTGTTTCTTTTGGCTATAATGATGGATACGGATTGGTTTACGTTGTATGATTTCATTGTTTCATTTCTGTCTTATTTGCGATGATGATGAACAGCCTATCATGTCTACCTACCTTAGCTTTGATGGCGTGAGGAGTGACTGTATGTGAAGTCGATGCCCACAGACGTGAAGCAACACTGCATGAAATCCATTTGCTGTACTATGCCCGTCTTTCATGCAGGGAGCCAAATTCAAGGCGGTGAATCATCCAAGAAGGACGAGCTGAGAAGCCTCCACGTAGGCTTAGTGTGGACCACAGTGTTTGGATTCTCATGCTTTCTGCGCTGCAACTCATTATCTAAAGTGAATCCACATTTTCACTCTATCTCATTCAGTAGTACATACATAGCACGGCAGCATAAGGTGCTTTACCCGGATGTACATAGACTTCACACCTTACGATGAGATTGCGATGAGATGAGATTCCGAAGATGGGATAAGAGCTGTGAGTGAGTGAGCTGACGACGCCCGCGGACTTGTAATACTAAATCGAGATCTCCCGAGGCCCACACCATGTTTGCTGTCGGGTCTGGTGGCTTTTGCTTTTGCCTGGAGGTTTCTGGGGGGCGGGAGATGGTGGAGCGTGATTGGAGAGGTTGGGATGGGGCGGGGCGTTGCTGGGTTGGTGTGTTTACTTTGTTCTTTCTTGCTGGTGCTACGATCAAATGAGATGCTTGAAAGAACCTGTAGAGTGTGAAGGATGGGAATAACAGGCCTCCCATCTGGATTCCATCACAATCAAGTCAACTCTGACAACATGGAAAAGTTGCATCTTCTCATTCGTACGGGTAGAAGCATCGTTAGTGAGCAGCAGCTTCCGAGATGCAAAAAGGTGATTGGCTGCAGCGCGCTAACGCCTCGCGCGACAACACACCCCCAGCCACTTGGTTTCTGTAGGAACATGAGCTGACAAGACAGACTGCCACCCCCCCTTCTGCTGCAAACAACTGCTCTGCGCCTCTGTTTTCTTTTAGCGCTTGTATTTTCGTTTCCCCATCTCTTCAAACGTCGGGTTCTGGGTGGTGACGATATCGATTCCCGTTTGTTTACTTTTTGAGACAAGTGGGATTGACTCTTCTCTGCTGCTGGCAACTCTTGTTTCTCAGGTACGATTAGGCGCCGAGGACTGAAAAAGGCGGTGGCTGGTTGACACGACATCCGTTCCATCTCACCTCTGCCAGACCACACCCCGAGAGACAATCCGCATTCCAAACAACTTCAAACTCCATCGCAACCATGGCGCCGGCGGTGGCGAGCACCGGCCGCGACCTCACCGGCACGCCGACCGTCGACCTCATCGGCAGCGACCAGTTCCCCGCGGACGGCCCCCTCCTCCACGGCGCCCGCCTCCTGGCCCGGCAGCTGTCGAAGCGCACCGAGGACCCGTCCAAGGGCGTGCTCGACCCGCACGACATCAACAACGCGGGCTTCTTCTTCCTCTTCGCCCTCATCGGCGTCGGCTTCGTCGTCACGGGCATCTGGTTCTTCTTCTACGCCAAGAACGGCGGCATCTACTTCAAGGACAACGACTGGGACGACTACAAGTCCACCGTGCTGCGCCGCAGGGGCCCCAACGGCACCGTCCTCTCCGGCGCCACGGAGTCGACTGACCTGGGCGGCGGCAGCGTGTACAAGCGGTACGACGACCACGACCACGACGAGGACGATGACAGGCGCACGGCCATCACGGACAGCACCTACCTGACGGGTATCACGGCCGGCGCGAGCGACATCTTTGCGCGCGAGAAGCGCAAGAAGAAGCGCGAGGCCCGCGACGCGGAGCGCAGGAAGCGGCGCGGCGACAAGGGCAAGAGCACGGACACGTCGTCGACGGCCTTTGAGGGCGTCGTCGACGAAAAGGCCGAGCGCGAGGCCAAGAAGCTCCTGCGCAGCTACCGCCACGAAAAGGCCGCCCGCGTCGGCGGCATCAACAAGGAGGCCGAGGGGTCCGAGTGGGAAGGGTCGACGAATGCCGCCGAGTCCTCGGTGGGCGCCACGTCGGAGCTGCTTCTGCACCAGGAGCCCACGCCCACGTCGTCGCCCACCAAGGCTTCTGCCGCTGCCCCCGAAGCTGCTGCTGCTGCTTCGCCCGAGAAGAAGCCGGCCAAGAGCGGAATCCGGAAGGTGTACTCGACTGCGGACCGGAGGGAGAGTCGGGAGGCGGAGAGGCTGCGCGCGGAGGCGCGGAGGCTGAGGGCCGCGGACAAGATCGCGGCGCGGGATTTCGGGTACCAGCGGGCGGCCGGGGCGGTGACGAACAGCGAGCTGAGTGAGAGTTTGCTTTCGGGCTCGGGGAGCGGCGGCGGTTCGACGACGCTGGGGGAGAGCATTCCCGAGGAGGATAGCGAGATGGGGACCAAGAGCTATCACCATCCTTTGCCGGAGCTGAAGGAGCAGAGGAGGAGGGAGAGGGAGGAGAGGAGGGCGAGGAGGAGCAAGAGTGGGTATCGGAGGGGGAACACGGAGGAGACTGACTTGTAGGGCTTTGATGAGTTGAGAGGATGAAGGGGAGATGGGATTTGATGTGGAAGGGTTGGGAATGGTGAGGGCGGAGGGTATACGGGATGATGCTGGTGGTTTCTTTGCTGTTTATGCGTCTTTGCCGCCTTTGTGGGCGTGATACTGTTGGTTTTTGACGATCGATGAGTCTGATGGTTTGACGACTTGGTGGATTACGATGGGATGGGAGGTGGGCGGTATGGTTGCCTTTCTTTTGTTATTCCAGCGCCTTGTACGAACATGCTTGTTGTGAGGCGACGAGTCAAGGTGTTTACATTGAGTAGCTTTACGATGTTGGCACTTGTATGAAATGATGAACCCCTTGGGATAAACTCATGGCTTCGTTTGATCTTATTGAGTCTCCTTTTTGTCAGGGTATGTGAAGATGCATCTCTGTCTAGCCTTATGAGATGAGAATAGTGTCATCTCTATGCTCCTCTATCTCGTGTCGTCCCTTTTATATACGTGAGAGATATTTTGAGTGGTCAAGTAAAACCCGGTATTATGTCTCGAGGTCAATAGAAGGCATGCTTGGAGATGATGTCAGGACTTCTATTCCAGTCGCTCAAGATGCCTAAGATTGATGCCGTTTATACAGTACGTTACCTCCCATCTCTACGTTTCCTCCCTCTGTCTTGTTCCTTCGTCCCTTTGTTATATACGCAACTTGTCTCTTCCGCGGAAGAAGTATAACTGCGAACACTATCGAGGTTAATTTTATGAGATGATGTGAGGATGTTATATTCCAGTTGGCCAAGGTAAGTCAAGATTGATGCCGCTTATACATACATGTACATCCCGCCTCCTATCATGCTACTTGGGCCGGTGGCGATTTGTATGTTCAAAGTCGAATCTTACGTGTACGCGTAACGCGGAGATTATACGCAGTAGGAGGGTCAAATTTGGATTTGATCCAGGAACCGACTTGCTCACAGTGTCCGTCCCTTTCCGCGGTTTTCGTCGCCATCTTGGATTCCTAGTACCTACATTACTCGCAATGTGCGAGGTGATGCGAAATACATGTACCGTTAAAACGCACCTCGATGTCCCCTGATGTTGAGCTGCGTTTTGCGGACCAGTCAATGACTTACATGGTGTCAATGGGCTTTTGTATGAAGGATGAGGGACTGGGGAAGGCTCCGAAAACCGGTTGGGGGCGCTTCTTTTGTCCATCTACTATCTCACAAGCGAAGAGGAAGGTCAGTCTTGAAGCTCATGTCGTAGCGTACAAAGCAGACGCGGCTACGAGCTACCTATTCATAGACCGACCGTCTTAGCACATCACCCCCATGTCCCGTGGATTCCGTGTCCCAATGGCACGCATAAGCCCCGGAGGTGCATTGACAGTTACAGTTACAGCCCTAGGGCGATGCAGCATGAGAATAGAGCTTTGAAACTCGCGTGGGTGAAACTGCAGGGGGGGTTTTGCCCTTTGGACGTAGGCGCCCAGGTGGTCCTAAGGGGGTTTTGTGTTGCTTTGGCTTGAATGGGGGTTTATTGGGTTTGATTGACTGTATGAGGTTTCACCATGATCGAGGAATGATACTGAATTTATGGAAGAGAAGCTATGAGTTGGATCGAGTGTGCAGTTGTTCCAATTGTCGCTCACGAGGCTGCCTTGCGTTGCTGATGCTGCCCTGTCGGGCCATGAAGCCGCATTGCGTCACACAGTCCGTCCAGCAGCAAGGGCTCCAGGCACCCCCGAGGGATTGACAACCCTGGCCCAACACGCGCAGGTACTGGGGACTCTGCGGCCGGGGACGCTGCGGCAGGCGCGGTACTTGCGCTTCCCCGCTGAGCAGATAGTCGGACCCCAGCATTATCACATAAATTCTATCCGAGGTATCAGTCCAGCTGCGTATTTCGTCCCTTTGCGCGCGGGTACCCGCTACATCAGCAACCGCCGCGAGGTTCCATTTCCTTCGTCCATCCTGGCCTGACGAGCCGCCCAACTTCGCAGATATTCCATAGCATGCGCATGCGCACCTGCGCCCCCACAACTCTGATGCCCTTGCAAGCTCTCCATGAGCCCAGCCTCTCTCTCTCTCTCGTTCTTCTCCTTCTATCAGTCTGTCCCGAACAGGCAACAAGCGCACTTCTCACTTCAGCCACAGCTTGCGTCGTCCTGCGTTCTACACTGTCGCTCTAGGGAACAAGCTCCATCCTTTAGTCTGTTCTCCCTTCTCTCTTCGATCGTGAACTTTGCCCGCCTTCCCCTGTATCTGAACACACGATTCCCCTTTTCTGCTCCATCGCCGGTTCAACCGATCTCTCACAGCATCATCCACGCCTCGGTTTCCCCTCAGCTTCGCTCGTGCTACCGCAAGGTAAGGTGGTACTGGACTGCTAGCGGTTCTGGGCCTACGGGAGCCACGCGCCTGCTGACCGGGAGCCCTGGAGCTGGACGTTAGGCGGCACGGTGCTGCTCGCTGTTGCTGCCGGTCTAGCGGCTGCTAGCAGTTTCGAACAGTGCCGCAGCAGCGCCCAGGTGGTGCGGGTGTGCAACCTGCCGCTGAACAGCAACAGGCACAGCACAGTGCTCGTTCGACACCTGATAAACCGACCGAGTCGCCTCCAGTGCCTGTGGCGAGTGTCCGTGTCTGTCTGTCTGTGTCCGCCCAAACGCCATCTGATCCAACTTCCCCCATCAAACATCCACCACCACCTGCTTTTCGCCATCTGGCAGCGGCTGCTCCGGAACGGTCCGACGACAAACCTCTTGTGATTTTCTTCCTTTCTCTGCGTGCACCGCGCCCAGCGACGACTCTCGATTACTTCTTGTGCCGCTGCACCTACAGACGATTTTCTCTGGATCTGCGCCCTCGACGGCAGATCGGCTCTGGGAGCATCATCCATCCCCCGCAGCCTCCTCACCAGACGCAAGGTAGACGCTCGCAGGGCCGCGATCGCGGCGGAGACGCCGTCTCGTCAATCTGGCTCTTCGGAGTCTTGATTTCTTGTCTTTTTGTCTCTTTCGCTGCGAGCGAATGCTAGATCGTGCTGCTTTGCCCGTCGCAACGACTCGACTGCGTTGAATCACTCATCGCAATGACGACGTCACCATCCTCCGCCCTGACGGGCGTCATCATCGGCCTCGTGTCGTCCTTTGGCTCCATCGTCCTCATCTTCCTCGTCATCTTCATCTTCTGGGCGTCTGGATGCGCTGGCTCCGGTCGCATCATCCTCGACCGCATCGGCCGACCGGGTGAATATGACGACGAGCAGGCGTTTGCGAGGGAGGAGGCCGAGGCCCTGGAGAACATGGACGACATGGCCAGGACGGAATATCTGAGGGCCAAAGGTATGCCATGAGCCCATTTGCGCATCTCTCCAGCGCCCATTTCCGTGGCACCGCGTAGCCTGGCCGACTGACTGACCCGTGTGATAGCATTCATCACCGCGAACCCTCCAGAGTCTGCGCAAACCGATATTTCCCTCTCACAGTTCCTTGCCATCCAGGAAAAGGGCGTGTCGGCCTGGGAGTTTGAGCCCGAGCTGGAAATTGCGAATTGCTTCGTTCAGGCCCGAACCGAGATTGAGTTCTTCGATTCCGAGTGCACCGTCATGACCAACCTGCCTGTGCCCAAGCAAAACGACGTCTACTACTGGGAGGCCAAGATCTACGAAAAGGCGGAGAACACGCTGGTGGCGATTGGCATGGCCACCAAGCCCTACCCTCTGTTTCGGCTGCCTGGTGAGTTCTTTTTTCTTGTGCGATCACATGGCCTTGCCATATGCTAACTTCCCCTAGGTTACCACAAGTACTCCGTTGCCTACCACTCCAATGGCTCGCGACACTACAACCAGCCTTTCAGTCGAACCCCGTACGGCCCTCAGATTGTCCCCGGCGACGTGATTGGTGTTGGCTACAGGCCTCGCACTGGCGTCATCTTCTTTACGCGAAACGGCAAGAAGCTCGAGGAAGTGGTCCACGGCTTAAAGTCTCAAAACTTCTTTCCCGCCATTGGAGCCAACGGGCCCGCGTCTGTTCACGTCAACTTTGGCCAGTCTGGCTTCGTTTTCATCGAGGCAAATGTCAAGAAATGGGGTCTGGCTCCCGTGACGGGCAGCCTGGCTCCGCCGCCCCCGTACGGCTCTGAACAGGGCAGCATTCTTTTGGAAACCGGCACCAAGGATGGCTTCACCTCATCGCACGGTCGGGCTCATCGACACTCCGTGAGCGGCACGCCATATAGTGTTCGAGTGGGCGAAAACGATATCAACGCCCAGCACGGACGATCACGCAGCGGAAATTTCAGGGTCCTTCCTCCCACGAGCCCCGGTCCCGTCAGGAGCCCGACCGACATCTCGCTTGCCCAGCTCGTGCCATCCGATGAGGGTGGTGAGGCTAGCAGCGGCACGCAGCTTGCGCAAGAACAACATCTGAACGGCAATCCTCTCGAGCTCCATCTCGAAGACGCCACCAACCCGCCGCCCGATTACTCAAGTCCAACGCTCCCCGAGGATCGCAACCGTCGGTATAGCTCAGACAGCGAGGACGAAAACGCCCCTCTGATCCACGTCATGACGCGCAGCAGGGGTGAGTCTTCGTCGACAATAAGGCCTGCAGGACATGGCCAGTCGGCTACTCCCCAAGACCCTGTGCCCAGCTACAGCGACGCGATACAGCAGGGCGCGAGCCCAATTCGACGCGATAGAAGCAACAGCTCGGGATCTGACGATTCAGTTCAGAGCTCAAACAGCGGGTCGTCTTCATCCAGCTGAAGACATTTTACCAGGGCTCTTATAACAAGACACAATCATCACATTCACACAGGAACACACACACACTTTTTGCACACTGGTACATACTTTGCGTGGGCGCTTGGGAGTTTGAATAGCATCGGGATCTACCGTCACGACGGATACACATCGTTTCAACGGAGGCTTTGTTTTCTTTTGTCTTTTGTCCTTTTGGTTCTACACGCCCTCTCTCCTCCCGCACCTTAGAACAGGTCCAACCTCCTTTTCCTTTTGCTGTAACTCACCCCGTTGTGATTCCCGTGGATGAAAGAGAAAACTACCTTACCTATGACATGATACCACCTCTTTTGAACTCTACCTGGCGACTCTTGAATTTCGTTTGTTCTGTTTTCTTCCTCGGTTCTGGTTTTACTGCTTTTTGAGTAACTTATATTTTGGGTGTCTGTTGAGGGGTGTTGAAAAGGGGTGTTGAGGGACGACGGCTTTTTGGTGTAGAAGTGTGTGAGTTTCTGGTGTAGATGGGTTTGACATCCATAGTCAAAGAGATTCAATTTTCAAATCCTGCTGGTGTGTGCTTGTGTGATGATGTGAGTTGTGTGTTTGTAAGAGTGACGTATTGGATGAACCTTGCGCGGTTGGGGGAGGTCGTTTACGGTAAGGTAGGGAATGTTGTAGATCTACGGAGTAGAATGGATGGAAGGAGTTAAAGTTCGTTTAACCGTTTCCTTACTGCCGTGGCTAAAATGGCCGTATCTTTCTGCCAATATTCCTTGCCTGCTTCGGCTTGGCTTTCTAATTGGCCCTTTATGGGGTTTCTCTATCTCATTGTTCTTGTTGTTGGCAAGGATTTCCCCTGATTTCCTTCATGCCTTGGCATCTTCAGCCTGGCTTTCTAGATAGGAAGCCATCGATGTGCAGCTCAGTCTTCCCTCCGCTCTTTTTTCCCTACCTCGGTTCCTGATCCTTTTTCTCACTTTGGTTGATCAATGATCATGAAGTCACTGATTTCTAGCCCTTTGATCTTCTTAATTTCTTTGTCAAGGATGTGATATGGCTTGATGGAAGCGTCGCAAATCATCTCTCCGACTGCCCCCCGCGGGCAAAATTTATCGAATGGCAGCTTGCCCAGATCGCAGATGGCGTCATTCAATGTTAAGATGCTGTGGCCGGCATAAGGCGGTAGCGGAGACGGATGATGGAGGCCAGTTTTGACCAATTGCTTAATGAGCGCCCCGAGGGCCATTGAGGAGCACGCAAACGAACAAGCGATGTATTTCTTGGGATACTGCTCCTTCACTAGCCTTTCGAAACCAGCGAGGATGGCAGAGATGTGTGCTTCCCTTCTCGCGTTGAGGACGTCTGGTGTTCATGGTCAGTTGTTATGCAGCTCAGGGTGCAGCAGGAAGATATTGCGTTAAGACGTACCGATGATATTCTGTGGTATTGGTAGACCCAAGGAATCAATCGGCTTTACACTACTTTTTATGAGAGACATCGACGAGTTCCGGAAGGCATCGGCGTTTGCAGATACCCAGGAAACCGAAAGCTCCAACAAGTGGTCTCTGCTCTTGGAAGCCGTTTTGCCTAGGCTCTTTAGCCAGGTCTGACTGAAGAACTGGACCGCTTCATGACATCGATAGTAGTCCACCAGAAGGCTTATCTTGGCAAGTCTCTTAAGGTTTACCGATCGAGGCAGATTTGTCGTCTTCCCATGGATAATGTTCATCACGATGAGCAGCGCTTCTTCGTCGAAATCCTCGGTCTGGATCGTGTACGAATACTGGCCCTCGGCCGTGGTGGTGGTCTCCTTCCAGCCGCCAACCATCAACTTCTGGAAGTACTCGGACGCCAGTGCGAGATGCTTTGACGAGAGGCGCATGTGAACCTCTGGCTTGGAGTCGGCGGATTGGTGTGTCTTGGCGCGTTTCTGTGGCGGACCGGGAGGCGGTGCGGGAACGGCGAATGGAGCGTTTGGGTTGCGGAGGATGAGGAGCGTGTCTCCGTTGGGATCGATTTCGTGGAGCTTCGGCGCCATGGTGTTGAGCTCTGGGGAGGCACGGCGGTAGGGGAGCTGCTGGATGAAGAGATGAAGGAAGAAGCAAAAACGGAGAAGAGATGAGTGAACGAAAGAAAGGGAGAAAGAGAGAGAGAGAATGAAATAAAAACAGCTGGCAGTTGCTGGAAGATTCACTATGCGTACAGGTGGCTGCCAGTGGAGAGCTCATGGATCGAAAGTGAATGGCTTCTACTCCCCTACTTCACTCATGCTAAGTTAGGGTAATGGGCGCCTCCCTAGGTAATTAATTGGCGTCGAGTGATTCCATGATCTGGGATGGAAGGGATTGGAGTTGTTCAAGAGTTTTACTAGTGCCGTAGCTTAAACGCCTTTACTATCCCGGCAAGCCTTCTTGAGGTTGAGATTGTCCAGTTGATATTCTTTTTCCTTCTATGTCGTTGATGGATCCGTCTTTCCCGTTTCTTTTCTCAGAAGCTTGTTCCTGCCTCTCCAGGTACTTACGGTACCTACCAGCCATGAACAGAATTCTCAAGGACTTCCAATTCATTCCTCTTTTCCCATACTTTCCCCTTCCCACTTTTCTTTCTCTTCTTCGATTTGATACCTAGCCAGCCATCGGTGTTCACCTCATTGATGGTTCAAATGGCCTTCAGTCTTGTTCGAACCATTGTCTTTTCTTTTTACTAAGTTCTGCGCGGGTACTCATTTATAATTGGTTCGATGCTCCCAGGCTCCTTCAAGAGGAACTCGCCCGATACGGCACTGTAAGCAGGTGACCATGAGCCATGCCTCTCAAACTGAGTGTGTAATATAATTCCTCAGCACCAGCCCCACTACCTGGTTGATATACCCTTCGACGAGCGGCTTTGTTGTGTTAGCAAGAGTGCAAAACGACGCGGAATTGTAGGTCATGGAGTTTCTGCGATTGACGCAGATTTTGTTCCAAGACGGCTCCGCGAACCCGAGGATCACCTGCTGCAAGGACTCTAGGCTGTGGCCAGTGTATGGCGGCAACGACAGGTATTCTTCAGAAATTCTGGCCTTGTCCATGCCTTTGATAAGAGCGCCTATGAAGGCCGAGGAGCACTCAAACGAGCACTTGCGTCCATTGTCGGAGCATTCGGCTTTGATCAGTTCTTTGAGGCCAGTAATAATGGCAGAAATGTAATGTTCTCTTTGTTTATTCAGTGCGTCTGGGATAGAAGTCAGAGATTTTATAACTTGGGATGTATCTGAGATGCGTGGGGCGCAACTTACCGATCACACTTTGCGGTATGGGCAAGCCCAGTGACTCAATCGGCCATTTGCTCTCCTTTATCAGACTCATCGTCAGGTTCTGGAATTTGGTACGGTCCGGAAAGACACATGCAACAGAGAGCCTTAGCAACAAGTCTCTTCCGGTGTAAGAGCGCCGATCTATGCGCCCGAGCCAAAGCTGGTTAAAGAACTTAAGCGCCTCGTGGCATTGATAGTAATCAACCAGGGCGCAAATCTTGGCCAGAGTCTCAAGGTTCATTGCCATGGGTAGCTTTGCTGTTCGCCCATGAATGATGTTCATCATGATAAGTAGTGCCTCTTCGTCCCAGTCCTCAGCTTTGACGACGTAGGAGTAGTCGCCCTCGGGTGTTGTCTCCTTCCAGTCATTTGCCAGCATTTTTTCGAAATACGCAGATGCCAGCGTCAGATGCCTCGATGAGAGCCTCATTCGTACCTCTGGCTTAACAGCGGCCCGTACGCCGCGTACGCTGAATCTAGAATTTTGTGCAGCAAATGGAGCGTCTGGGTTATGGAGAATGAGGAGCGTATCCCCCTTTGGGTCGATCTCATGGAGTTTCGGCTCCATTGTGCCGTGAGCGAGAGATGTGACGGCGGCAAGCTGTTGGAAAGAGGGAAGTTGACCAAGGTAGGTAGTAACATCGTTGTGTTGGTTTTCACGGCACGACTGCTTTCACTATCCCATCAAGCACCAATTGATTGGTCCAGAGAAGCCCACGGCAAGGCAAGAGCACCAAATGCACTGCTTCTACCCCGCCCGCAGTACTTGGGACTCATCGCATGGTCATTTATTTAATCGACTCTGATATTGTAGCCCGCCACCATACCCGCAGATACGATGCTTCGGGGTAAACTGTACATATGCACCATGACGCCACCCATCAAAGCTAATGGCTATCGTACTTACCTATGTATATCGAAGACAACTGGCGAGACACAGAGGACCAGATGTATAGACCAGCTTTCACTGTGTACCATTTCCAGAGTCAGGATGCTGGATAGCCAAATTGGGTTGCTGGATGGCGAGTGTACAGACAAGCTGTCCCTGGGTGACCCCTGAAAGGTGATTGGTACAGGGGTGATAAAGGAAACCTGTACAATGTACGGCTTTCCTTTAACTAGCGCTAAAGGAAAGCTGTACAATGTACGGCTCTCTCTTATCACCCCTGTACCAATCACCTTTCAGGGGTCACCCAGGGACAGCTTGTCTGTACACTCCTGGATGGCCGCTCCCTAAATCTATTGTACATGTAGCCACTATGCCCGCTATGATGCTTAAAGATATATCCCATGGATATGCGTACGATAACCCCCAAACGCCGATGCCAAAGCCCAATCCCTGTAACCAAGCAGCTCATCCCACGACTTCAAAGTCATACCCCAGTTCCTCAACAATGGCCTCAAAGTCGGCCTCTTCCTCGCCAAGCTCCTTCGTCTCCTCGGCTGGCGTCTGCGCCGACAAGAACGGCTCCGCATTCCCCTCGACGGCCCTCTCCACCAGCTCCGGCCAGTAGTCGAATCCGTCACGCACTGCGAGGCCGGCCTTGTGGCCCAGAAACATGCGCCCCAGCTTGGCCCTCGTGCCCTGCACTTTCTCCAGCCGGACGAGTCTGTAGCCGAGAAAGACAATGGTCTCTTCTTCGTAGTAGGCCGAGTAGCCCTTTTCGCGGACGACCTGGAAGCGCCCGCCGGCACCGATGTTGACGTTGAAGGCAGGGTCGACGGGGACCTTGACACCCGCACCAACCCCCGACGAACGCCCCGTCGAGTCGCTAATCTCCATGTTGGTCAGGGTGACGATGTCGGTGATGAAGTAGCCCTGGTCGTGGTTGCTCCGCAGCAGCTCAAACAGCTCCTCGAAATACTCCTTGTCCTTGAGCAGCTCTTTGAACTTCTCCCCAGGCGAGTCCATGTGCCATATCCGCGCCACCGTCGCCATCTTCTCGCTGCTGTCCTCCTTGGCGCGGTCGACAAAGGCCTCGAGGATCTCGTTGAGCGAGGCGGACACGCCCGCGTCCTTGATGCGGCGGGTCCAGAACTTGACGTTGCGGACCTGCACGGGCTTGGGGTCGAGGCCGGGGACGATGTCGCGCGGGAGCCGGGCGTTGGGGCGGTAGGGGATGTGGCGCTCGGTGGGGAGGTCGGGGTACTTGACGACGCTGCCGATGAGCGTGTCGCGGTAGACGCCGGCGTCGAGGCGTGGCTGGATGAGCCAGAGGGGTTTTGTCTCGTGGGCGTGAGGCATTGTGGCGTTGGAGGAGGAGGGGCTGGTGATGGGGTTGAGGTCGAGGTCGAGGTGATGCTGGAGGTGGTGATTGTGAGGAGTTGGATGGATGATGGCGGCTGTTGACATGATGGGAATGGGAGGAGGAGAGAGTTTAGAAGAGAAGAGGGTATGAGATGAGATTGGTCGTACGTGTAGCTGATCTGGGGCTATTGCCAGCTACTGCAGTGTTGGCTTTGTTGGGATCAGCAGTAGGACACTTTCTGCAGCTTGTAGGATGATGGCTTATAACACTGAGATATCACGGTCCAAGGGTCTATTTCTACTGGGATTCTTTACAATGGCCGAAAAAGACGTTCAGACTGATTCGCCGCATCAGTCATATTTAGCAGAGAGCCTTGGATGTTTGGCATGTGACGTCGTTGTGCCTGGAATGGCTGAGAGGCCGCCGCTGGGCCAAAGTTTAGGCTGCGCCACACGTTCGGTGGTGGCATCACCCGTGGTTCGGTGTGTTGCTGCGCCACGGAGAGCACCAGATGCGGTGATGGCAGCGGCTATTCAAGGGCCGGTGAAGAATGAGTCAGTTCTGGAAGGATATTTGGGAAAGAAGAGTATTTGAATAGCAGGTGATCAGAGCGATTAATGGAAGAGAAGTGGATGGCGGACCGTGGCACAGGGTCGAGACCTCGCTCGGTATAAGCGCATTCAGTACTTCGAGTACTTACAGGACTACCTAAGGTACTTAGTAGACTCAGGAGAGGCTTCACCAGCAGCAGCCACTCACATTCAATCTTTCCAGACTGGTCTACGATGATTCCGGTAGCCTGCTCTGCCTTTATCGCCACTGCCGTGATCACGCTTTGGCTGTGTTTTGAGCGCTGGTGTGACGGTTAGTTCATCTACCCTTCCGAGAATTAGACTACGGGAAATGGGAACCCAACCGGCCGGTATGAAGTCTGCCTGGCGATTCCAGGCCACGAACTGTCTGTGTTATCGTGCAGTGCCTCTCATGTTGGCTTGGGTTGAATTCAGTCAGAATCAGAATTGTAAATTGTCTGACAGATGTCTGTATCTGCTAGCCTTTGCGCGCTCAGCCACTGACAGAACAAAGCCCAAACTCTAACCCGGGCAGGCGAGATCCTGAAATGGCCTGTACAAAGTACCTGCACCAGCCACGTCCTTCGCCTGCCAGGTCGCCATCCTCTCTCCTTCAACACTAAATCTCCCATCATTGTCTTCCCAGCCGATGAGCTTCCTATCTGCGCACTACAAACCGCCAGTCGTGAAATGTCCAGTGAGGACTCTAGCCATAATACGACAGTCTCGACATACCTGCACTTGACCTGATGGCGGACTCGCGCGAGTCGTTCAAGGGCCTGTTCCAGCGCGTACGCACAGCCGTCACACGCCAGAGAAGCTCAGACTTGGGCGGCTTGCGGACTGTGCATGACCCTGAAGATGCCGATATAGAGTAGGTTGACTTCGTTCCGCATCGGCTGCTATTTTGCTCATTACTGGACCTTGGCCTGACGTTGAACAGCATCGTGGCTGTCCATGGCCTGGGCGGACAAGGCTTCAAATCATGGATCTCGGTGGAGGGCGGCAAGTCCAAGTCGTGGCTGGAGGACCTTCTCGCGCAGGATATTCCCAACGCGAGGATCATGACGTACGGCTACATTTCAGACGGGGTCAACTACCGCTACCTAGTGCGCAACGTGCTCTATGGCAGGGCTTTGGACTTGGTCAAAGAGCTGGGCAATCAGCGCATTCGCGACGGCACGAGCAGACGGCCGCTCTTCTTCATCGCCCACAGCCTGGGAGGGTGGATCGTCAAACGAGCGCTCATCATCTCCAGTGAGGCCATCGATGCGGAGCTCAAGGACATTGAACTGGCGACCTGTGGAGCAGCGTTCTTGGGCACCTTGTCTCCAGGAAGGCCACTGTCACCAACGCCGCTCGCGCATGTCATCCGAAGAACGACGTCGGGCTTTGATGAGCATCCGACCTCTGCTCGCGGACATTCCATTCAGCCCCAGGCAGAGGATATCGAGTGGTTAGAGAACCAGATGGAGGCGTTCAAGGCCATTACGGCAAACCTCCCACAGCTGTCTTTCCACGAGACTAGGCAATCACAGGACGGATTCGTGGTCGAGCCGCGGCATTCCATGTCTGGCTCAGATGGCGTGCAGATCGGACTATCCGCCACTCACTCGGGTTTAGTGCAATTCGAGGGTCGAGATGCCAACTACAGGACGTTTGTTCTTAACTTCCGCAACATGATTCACAAAGCCACTGCTTCTGGATTGTTGGAGAAGAAGCGAGAGGCGTTTGATTCCCTTACAGGTGAGTGAAGTGTCACTGCTCAGCTGAATAGGACTGATACAGGTACCTAGATCAACACTTGGAATACCTAACCGAAGGTTTCAACATTCCATACAAGCTGCCCTGTGAGCCAAGCGTCATCATTCACAGAAAGGGCCTGCTAGAACAGCTTGAAGCCAGCTTCAGGCCCTCTCTTGATCGGCAAGCTTTGCATATCAGTATCACCACTCTATGGGGAGATGCCGGCGTCGGCAAGACTACTGTTGCGCGAGATTACGCCGAGCTGAAAAAGAACGAGCTTTCGTGCGTTTTCTGGATCTGGGCCGAGAGCAGGGAGACGGCCGTGACAAGCTATCTCGAGTTTGCCAACCGTTTGGTCGAGTACTACTCTAGGAACGCACCTCGGTTTCGGGTCGAAAACGAACTTGGACTCACAGGGGTCGAGGAGATGCTCAAAGTAAAGAGCATTCAGCAGCTGGATATGTTACAAGTCAAGGCTGTGGTGCGAGCCGTCCAGGACTGGCTAATGAGGCCTGAAAATGACAAGTGGCTTCTCATCCTCGACAACGTTGAGCCGTCTTTCGATATATCCGACTTTATTCCACTCACCCTCACTGGAAAGATTATCCTGACTTCCCGGGATAGCAGCAACTGTATATGGGGGACGAGGCTGCACGTTGGACCCATGGTAGACGAAGAAGCTGTACAGCTACTTCGCTCGATAATAGGAGACGAGTCATTACAAAGCAATCATGAAGGTAAGAATGAACATCTTGGTTTGAGAGGTTGGATAACCAACAATGCACCAGACGAAGCAGCGCATAAGCTAGTGCGGCAGCTCCAGTGCCATCCTCAGAGCATAGCGCTCGCCGCCTCTACCATCAGCAAGAAGGGGCTCGATGTCTCTGACTACCAGAGAGAGATTGCGTCCAATATGCCGCTTAGGATACTAGGCTCTATGCTTGATCAGTCTTCCGTCACAAGAACAGTGCTTCGCGTCAGCGCTATGCTTTCGTACACAGTCATTCCCGTCGCCTTGTTCGGTTCACCCAGAGGCCACAAAAAGACGCCCGCGCGATTTGCAGATACTTTGCAGGAGATAAGAGGCAAGTGTACAAGATTGTTTTTGAGCTCAAGTCTGACTTTTGTGTAGCCTTTCAAGATGCGAATCGACTTGATGATGTTCTGCAATACCTGTTTGATCAAAACTTTATACAAACGCCCTCCCCTGATTCGGCACCACCGTCCACAACTTCATCACCTAGCTCACCATCGGCATCGCAAGCTACGAACTCGTCGACATCGTCGTTCGAAGCCTTTGTACTCGACCCTGCCGCTCGTGACTACGTACGCGCATCGCTCAAAGATGGAGAACAAAGGGAAAACGCATGGCTAGCCTGCAATATTTGCGTCGACGGCATCCGGGAAAGGGAGACGACTTCATCGAGTCTACCAGAAATCCATGATTTTGGGAGGATCATGGCCCCTCACGCAAAGGCTTGCTATGACGATTGGTCGGGCATCCTTGAGCACGACGATGACGACGTCGCGTGGCATGTCTTGGGAAATGTGTGCATGACGCAGGGTGCGTTGGAGCAAGCCATCGGTTGCTTCAAGCTTTCGTTGCAGCAAAAGTCGAACATGGACGCTGGGGAAAGAATACAAACATCCCTATCGCTCGCGTCATTGCTCCGACAAACAGGGGAACCCGAAAAGAGCGCCGAAGTGTTGATGAACATTGACTTGGCGTCCATCGACCAAGCCCTCGGCCTGCAGGTTGCTCTGGCGAAGATATCCGCGGCGACTGCTCGAGGAGATTACGACTACGCGGAAAACCAGTACGAGATCATCGAGCATCAGCAAGAGGAAGAGTTTGGGCCAACAGATGCAGCGACTGTAAGTACGGTCCGAAAGCTTGCATCGACGCTGGAACAGCTGGGGAAGATGGAGGAGGCGCAGGCGCTCTATCGCCGAGTATACATCTCCTACCAAAGCATGTTTGGCCAGAGCCATCCGATCACCGTCGAAGCCCTCGATGAGCTTGCGCACGTATCCAAGGCTAGCAATGCCATGGACGAAGCCGAAGCGCTCTACACAAAGTCACTCGAGATTAAGACCAGAACTCTTGGTGCAGAGCATCCAAACACAGCTGTCGCTCTGCGTCAGCTGGCTGTCATGGACGACATGCGCTGTCGTTACGACGACGCCAAGACCAAGTACCGAAAAGCTTTGGACATCATGGCTGCCTCACTTGGCAAAGCTCATCCGCTTCATACGACTACGATGGAGGACCTGGCATTAAGCTGCCGCTTGCATGCCCACTTGTTGGGCGAAGAGGACGAGGCGGCATCCATGCACTCGTCTGAGTCGAGTTCAGTCCCGCGCGCTTTTCGTTCTCGGAACCGGCGCCGTTCAACAATCAATTCGATGAATACTATCACTCGAGACCGCTACGCGAAATGCAAAGAGGAGGCGGTTCTCCGTGACGCTTCCCGTCGCCGGGCATTTGGCGAAGCCGAACAGCTCTATCTCGACGTTATCGCGATCAAGAAGTCGGCGACCGAAGTGTACCGCGAGGGAGAGGTTGTCGAGACGGGGTCCAAGTTGAGAGAGATGTACGAGAACGAGCCCTTTTTCGAAAAGTGCCGCGATGAAAAGGTGTTGAACTTGACGGGGCTTTTGAGGGAGATGAAGAGGAGAGGGACTCTCTAACGCCATCCCTTTGCTCCGAGTTTTGACGCAAAGTCGCTTTGTCTCGCTGCTATAGTGCAGTTTTCCAGGGTTGGCATTCAACAAGCAAGATCGGCCGTGTGGCTCAATGGCAGAGCGTCTGACTACGATTAAGTATATCAGGAGGTTGCAGGTTCGACCCCTGTCTCGGTCAATTTTTTGGTGTTTTTTGCAGGCACTCACTCTCTTGTGTGGGCTAGGTGTTGCGGCTAGCTGAGCGTTTTCCTTACTTTTTACCTCTTTTTTTCCTGTATGCTGTTGCATGGTTTGCTCTGTATCGGATTCAGCGAGGAGTTTCTTTGGGGTTTATTAGGTGATGGCGTGGCAAGAATGGTGGGATTGCTTGGGATCTTTTTTTGTGTGGCGGTTGAATTTTTCAATGAAGGACGATGTTATGAGCGCAAATATGCATTGCTCTCAACCAAGTCTTACCATACATACATACCCTTTTTCAATGATACCTCTCTCGTGATGAAAACATATCGATGCTATTGTCGAACATGTATTCGGTTTATAACCAGCCCGTCTCATGCCTATTCACCTGAGCCAGCCATATATACAAATAACCCTCATTTTCATCCAATGACTCCTGCCAAAGCCAAAGCAATTGCTTCAAAGCTTTCAAAGCACTCATAGTATTGATACTCATCATATACCCAACGAGTGACTGATTAAAGCAACTCAATCAAGTCCACTCCCCAATAACGATACTCTCCCCCCATCACATCCAACATATTCACATCAACCCCGTAGCATTACTGCTGCTGCTGCTGCTGCTGCTGCTCCCCACCCTCAGCATCAGCGTACACCACCGGCGGCGGCGCGAAATACGCCTTGCCCGCGTCCACGAGGATCTGCTGGTCGAGCCTCGCCTGCGCATTGTCCCCAAACTCGACCCTCTTCCACGTCGTGATGCGCGCCTCCTCCGTGTCCACCTCGAAGAGGCGCAGCCGGCGGATGTAGCCGTCGTAGCCGGCGTACCCGCCGAAGCCGACGCCGCCCGAGTAGCACATCCACATGGCGGGCGTCTTTTGCGCGGCGTCCTCCTTGTCCTTGTCCTTGTCCTTTTCCGACTCGAGGGGCAGTTTCTGGTCCCAGCCGGGGAGGAAGGATTTCGTTTCGTCGCCGTGGGAGGAGAGGGAGCAGTAGTCGTTTACGTGGTCACTTAAAGAAGCACTTGGTTTTAGTGGATGTGTCGGGGGAGGGTGGGGGAAGTGATGATGGGTGTGACTTACTGGCCGGCGCTGACCATGACGACGCCCTCTTCGATGAGAGCGTCGTGGAAGCCCGTGTTGTAGACGGGCGCCGTGACGCCTTCGCGCCATTCGCCCACGCGGGGCTTGTCCCAATCTGCGTATTCGGTCAGGGGAATGTGGATGAAGGCAATGTCCATGTGACGGTGCGTATAGCCGTCATGGTTCTTCTTGAGGCTCGCGCTGGTCCTCTTGAACCAGTCAATCTGGCTGGGCTTCACCCAGTCGTAGCCCGGATAGTGCCGCTCGTCGGGCGAATAAGAGTGGGTGTCGAGTAGATAGATGGTTAAGGCGGAGTGCTCATTGTGGCCTCGCGCCAGGACCTCGATGTAGTAGTTGCCGACGCCGTCGACGTCGACGGGGCCGGCTTGGGAGAGAGAGTAGGGTAGCGTCTCCATGAGCGCCATCTGACCTTCGCGCGACATGGATTTTTCGTCGTCGTGGTTGCCAAAGATGGCTGCGTAGGGGATCTTGCGCTCGATCAAGAGAGAGGCGTATTTGTATATGGCCTGCGAAAGTCAGCTTTCTGTTTCATATCAAGCAAGAGTTACACGGTATACAAAAGTCACGTACCGATGGTGCGTCAGGGGCTGTATCACCGTTGACCTGATCACCGCTCAGGATGACGAGGTCGGGCTTCTCCTCATCAAGCATCTTGGTGAGGAAGTCGAGGGTCCTGGGGTCCGCCTCGCATTTGCCTCCCTTGTAGCTATCGGGCACAGCATCTCGACACTCGCCGACGCCGGTGCTGAGGTGCAAATCTCCCACCTGCATGATCTTGAACCGGCCGTTGTCAGGGATTCTCGGCTTCGGCTTCTTTGGCTGGTGAGGCGCTCCCCGCCGCACGGTCAGATGGGCGCTGAGGATGGCTCCCCCGGAGCCGAGGTGCAGAGGTCGGCCGACAATGCCCCAGCCGTTGCGCGCCTCCGTTGCGTCGTCGCCGAAGACGACGTCGACGTCCGTCACGGCAGCGTCCGAGTCGCTCGACTTTTTATTCCGGGAGCGCTTCAGCCATATGCCGCCCGGCCGGGGCTCCCAGTGCTCGCTGCCGTCGGCGACGTCGCCGGGGTTGAGCGTTCCGACAGAGACGCCGACGACGACCTTGTCATCTTCGGCGAGCTCCTCTTCGCGCTTGCGGCGGACGTGCAGGTACGCCTTGGACGTCCACGCCCTGCCCAGGTACAGCTCCTTCTCGATCCGCTGCCATTCGTTCGGATTCAGTTCGCAGGAGGAAAAGGGCTTGAGGGAGGAGCAGGTCGTGAGTGTGATGTCGGTGACTACGAGGCCTGGGTGGTGGGAGGGCATGTAGTTGTGGAGGGCGTTGGGGAGGACCCTGTAGTTTCGGTCGAGGAAGAAGATGACGATGGTGGTGACGAACACGACAGCACCCAGCTGGGTGAGCGTGCGGACCTGACGGAAGAAGCATCGTGTTAGTTGTCGTCGTCTCGTGTCCACGTTGATGCGACCAGCAACAGTAAGGTAGCAAGAAGAAAGCTGGCCAACGTACAATGCGTCGCGTCATCCTGAAGGGACGCCCGTAGGGACTGCAAGCTGAATATCAAACAAATGGATCGGATCTCCGTGATGCGCCGCGCAGCACAGTCTGCTTAGTATCGTGTGGTTCGCATCTTTGAGCAGTCAAGCACCGCGGAGGGTTTCGTATATCGAATGCCGCCACTCGATCGGATTTGTCGCAGCCGCGCGTAAGGGTTCGGAGGCGAGACAGTCGTCTGTGTGTCCAGAGAAGCGACTCATCCAGCTAACGGTAAGCCAGCATGCAAGTCTGTGTTGAAGCTCTGGGATCCTCGTGTGGCCAGGAGGCGGTTGGTGGTTCGTGGCATGTGGAAGCTCGTCAATCCGTCGGCCAAGGGGTTCAGCATCAAATGCCGGGAGCCGCAGACGAGGCACGTACAAGTAATTGGTCCGAGGCCACCCAGGCTCCACGTTGATCCGACTAGGTGCCTAGTAGGGCTCTAGAGCCTTGCTGCAGTGGGGTCGGCCGCCGAGCTGTAGCAAGCTCAGGGCCTGGAGCTGCTGGAGAGCCCCTGGAAGCTGGCGCACTAGTAATGCAAGATCTTGTCGGTATCGAGTATCGCTTCCTGTTCGATCGAAGCCGTGGATGTTACGGTGAAGGAATCCAATCCAACGTCATAAATACTGTGCTGGTTCGGAGACTTTTGTGGTCACGATGGAGAAGTTGATGGCGGAAACAATACCCAGGCAGAGCGTACAAGCAGAGTAACAGAACTTCTGTGCTCTCGAATGGCAACCTAGAGTCATCTCCTGTACGTAGTACCTTTGTAGCTCAACTCTGTCGCTCCCAGATTCAATGTCCAAGCTCAGATCCATGCTTTCAACCACATGTGTTCTGCCGGTTACGTACAAATGCAACTCTGTGGGTGTCACGAGAACCAAGGGATCGCATCATCTCCAATCATGATGGTCCAACGACCTTATGCTGCCCCTTCGACCGGCCATGTGGTCATTCTGGCGGCATATCGTCACAGCAGCTGCTTGGTGCTATTCCAGGCACTTGAGGCAGCACAAAAGAGTGGCGGCTCAGCTCAGCTCCAAAAGCTCCAAGAGGCTGGATCAGTGGCGAGCCGGTTCTTCTCCAGCAAGTATATAACTCAACTGAAAGAACAAACCGCGAGAATAGGGTGCAAGTTCCCTCGAGAAAAGTTCACGTAGATGGGAAGCGGAAGATGTAGGGTAAGCATCTCCATGATAACTGCCGAGTCCAATAGCCACAAAGCGTGGATGCAACAAGAAACCAGGAACAACTCGTCATCCAGCTTCTGCAAATCCTCGATGAAACTAAAACCAAGCCATCATGTGACACGGGAAAGCTCCACGACACCGACTGCAATTGGTTTCTGCTACTCAACAAAGAGCCATTACCGCTGTCAAAGAACCGACAGCTTCAGCCCAGCTTCAGCTTACTGTACCGGCTGGTCCGTGCGCGTTCTTCCCGGCGCAAATCCGCCATCCCCAGCCTCGCCTTTCGTAATAGCGGCTCGCATCGCGTCTCGCCTCGACGTTCCTTTTTCTCTTCCTCCTCATCTTCTTCGCTGGTCAATTCCCTCCCCCAACGCCGTTTTCCTCCCTCTCGCGCCTTCATTCTCGCACTCATTGATTCACCGCCAATCTCTGCGCCTGTCCGCCGCTAGTCGCCCCTAAGCAGCCGCGCGTCTACCCGCTCCCGCCGACTGACGTGGTTCTGCAGCGCTCCGACTCTTTTCTTTCTTGCGCTCCCTCAGTCCGATTGCCGTCACACATTCTTTCATCCCATCAATTTGCCGACCGATCGCACCATAGTCACAATGTCCGACTACACCGCGCTCAAGGTGCCGGAGCTGAAGAAGCTCCTTGCCGAGAAGAAGCTCCCCCAGACCGGCAACAAGGCCGACCTCATTGCGCGACTGCAAGAAGATGACAAGAAGAACTCCGCATCCGCACCGGAAACCGACAAGCCTGGTATGTAGAAAGCTGCGAGAACCTCCACATTCTACGTCAAGCGACGAGATCAAGCGAAACACGCAAAATTCCATCAAAAGGATCGCGAGCGACGCTAACAAAGCCGAAATCCAGCAGAGACTAAGGAGGATGAGATCAACTACAGCGACGACGAACCCACCGCGTCAAAACCAGAGCCGGAACAGCCAGCCCAGGCCGTAGAGAAGCCCGCTGAAGAGCCTTCCGCCGCCGCCGCCGCCGCTCCGGAAGCTG